GTATTAATTTCATCAACACAAGACAGAACACGAAACAATGGATATTGAATAGAAGTGTTTGTAGAAAGCCTATTGGTCCATATTTCTTGATGCTTCTATATTGGAGCGGAGTCTTGAGGTGGGTAGAATATAGTTGTGCAATAATTGGCTGTTGATTGCTGGTGTTGACTTCTTGATGTGTAGTGCCTCGCAAACGTCAAGCCGCCTGCTATCGCTGTATCTATCGATGATTTCTGTGTTGTTTACTAGGATTTCTCTGGCGATGGTTTGGTTGTGGGAAGAGATTATATGTTCCTTAATGGAGCCCTGTTGCTTATGCATCGTTAAACGCCTAGAAAGAGATGTTGTTGTCTTGCCTATATACTGGGTTTTTTGGAGCTTACAGTCCCCAAGAGGGCATTTGAAGGCATAGACGACGTTAGTCTCTTTTAAAGCGTTCTGTTTTGTGTCTGGAGAGTTTCTCATGAGTAGGCTGGCCGTTTTTCTGGTTTTATAGTAAATCGTCAGTTGTATCCTCTGATTTTTGTCTGTAGGGATAACGTTTCTATTAACAATATCTTTCAGGACCCTTTCCTCCGTTTTATGAGCTGTGGAAAAGAAGTTCCTGTAAAATAGTCTAATAGGGGGTATAGGTGTTGTGTTAGTTGTCTCTTCAGAGGTTGCATGGCTTTTCACTTTCCTTCTTATGATGTCTTCGACGAAACCATTGGAGAAGCCGTTATTGACTAGGACCTGCCTTACCCTACAGAGTTCTTCGTCGACTTGCTTCCATTCTGAGCTGTGGCTGAGAGCACGGTCGACATATGCGTTAACAACACTCCTCTTGTACCTGTCTGGGCAGTCGCTGTTGGCATTTAGGCACATTCCTATGTTTGTTTCCTTAGTGTAGACTGCAGTGTGGAAACCTCCGCCCTTTTCCATGACTGTTACATCTAGAAAGGGCAGCTTCCCATCCTTTTCCATCTCGTAAGTGAAACGCAGCACGGAACTCTGCTCAAATGCCTCCTTCAGCTCCTGCAGATGTCTGACATCAGGTACCTGTGTAAAAATGTCGTCAACATACCTGCAGTATATGGCCGGTTTCAAGTTCATGTCGACTAAGACTTTTGCTCGATGGTACCCATGTAGAAGTTTGCAAACAGGACACCTAGGGGAGAACCCATGGCGACCCCATCTACTTGCTTATACATGTGCCCATCCGGGCTCAAGAAGGGTGCCTCTTTAGTACAAGCTTGGAGTAGTTTCCTCAGAATATTTTCTGGTATGTCAAGAGGAGTACAGGCTGGATCACGATACACTCTGTCGGCTATCATTCCGATTGTCTCGTCCACAGGTACGTTGGTAAACAGCGATTCTACGTCCAACGAGGCTCTTATCCCTGTGGCCCGTGTGCCCCGCAGTAAGTCAACAAATTCCTTTGGAGACTTCAGGCTGAAGGCGCAAGGAACATAAGGAGTCAGCAGGCCGTTGAGTCGCTTCGCCAGTCTGTACGTGGGTGTGGGTATCTGGCTAATGATTGGCCGAAGTGGGTTTCCAGGCTTGTGCGTCTTGACATTTCCATACGCATATCCAGGTTTATATTCCCCAATGATCTTTGGCAGGTGGAGTCCGGATTTCTTGGCGTTCACAGTTTCGATCAGTTTGTTGACCTTTGCTTTTAATTCGGCTGTAGTGTCCTTCGTTACCCTTTGGAACTTAGTTTGGTCAGAGAGTATGATGTTCATTTTCGCCAGATATTCGTCTTTTTTAAGAATGACATATATTGGCGACTTGTCACCTCTCCTGACAACTATCTCCTTGTTCTCACGAAGGCTTTTAGCTGCCGCTTTAAGCTCGGGGGACAGTATGGTGCTTCTGTAGTTGCCTCGATTCTTTCCTCCTTCTGCAATAAGTTCTGCTTGTAAGGTATCTTTGGTAGTGACCTTCTTTTGTGTCTCGAGGTCGAATATGTCGTCCAACAGAATTTCCAACTCTACTTTCCGGGCCATCTCACTCGGTCTGGACATAACATGACAGTTTATGCCCAGATTTAGGAGAGTGACTTGGTCCTCAGTGAGGTTAATTCCTGCAAGGTTCAGGAAGCCATCTCTTGGTCGTGGAATTGCCATAGGTCCTCCATATAATGTTGTTAGTTTCTTGATAATCCTTGTTTCAGTGCTGAGGTGATGTTGGTCTGTGAGGATGTCGAGGTGTTGTTCAATGCGGGTACGGATACTATCGTCGATGTTGCTATTTCTCCACTCGTTTGTAGCATGAAGTAGTTGCGTTTTGTTGTCTTTGATTTCATTCTCTAACTTGTATATCTGATCACGAATCAGATCCTGGCGATATTTTATCGTGAAGGCTTGATTCCTTGCTGCTGGGTCGTGCGTTTTAATATTAGTATATTTTGGTAGCAGTCTTTCCTGTAGACATATATTATTAAATATGACCGAAAAAGTAAGATTAATAATTCTAACACGAATTTTCTCAATCTTTCGTACATTTCGCTTCACTGTTGGAGGTAAATCAAAAATCAATTCTCCAAATTCATTTTTATTTCTAGTCTGACGCGACACGAGCGCGTTTCGTAAAACTTATTACATTTTCAAAGACTTTAGTTCACAAATACACAACTGAATAGAACTTACGCATCTCCGATTTTATATCTACATTTGAGTGAGGTGGAAGGGGTGATGTGGCATTAACACAAGACAGAACAAGATGTGGTATTAATAGGGTATTAATTTCATCAACACAAGACAGAACAAGGGTATTAATAGGGTATTAATTTCATCAACACAAGACAGAACACGAAACAATGGATATTGAATAGAAGTGTTTGTAGAAAGCCTATTGGTCCATATTTCTTGATGCTTCTATATTGGAGCAGAGTCTTGAGGTGGGTAGAATATAGTTGTGCAATAATTGGCTGTTGATTGCTGGTGTTGACTTCTTGATGTGTAGTGCCTCGCAAACGTCAAGCCGCCTGCTATCGCTGTATCTATCGATGATTTCTGTGTTGTTTACTAGGATTTCTCTGGCGATGGTTTGGTTGTGGGAAGAGATTATATGTTCCTTAATGGAGCCCTGTTGCTTATGCATCGTTAAACGCCTAGAAAGAGATGTTGTTGTCTTGCCTATATACTGGGTTTTTTGGAGCTTACAGTCCCCAAGAGGGCATTTGAAGGCATAGACGACGTTAGTCTCTTTTAAAGCGTCTATATATATATACAGTATATGTATATATAGTTTATTTATTTATATAGTGTAAACTAAAAGCAAGTTTTCTCTAATACACATGCATGTAATTGAACACAACAGCATTGTTACTATAGTTAATTTTCTTAAGGATATTTTCACTTCTACATAAATACTTTCTACCATCTGGAGGGTGAAGAAACACCAAATCACGTAAATCTTTCAATTTTATTGTTCGACGCTTCGTCAGCAATGTGACATCTTAATTAAACGAAAATTCAGACCGATTAATATAGATGACATGAAGAAGTAATGATTCAGTGATTATGAACTGGGTATTCCTTCATTCTTGGAATGTACTACACATACACTAATTGTTTACATAATTTTATAACTATCACTAATCTTACCAATTATAAAGTTATCTAATTTATATTATTCTGGACTTATATTAATATTATCTAGTTCATTATTTTTTTATGAATGAACATTCAATAATTATTTCTTATTGAAGAAATATTATTGAATCTTCATTTATAAAAAGTAGTGATTTAAATAATATTAATGCAAATCTAGGATATTATAAATAAGATAATTTTATAATTGGTAAAATTATAACTAATTATAATCTTTATTTAATTACCAAATCATCTTACTAGAGTTTTAATTATGGTTTAAGTATCATTGATGCAGTGAGCATATGCATGAGAGTTCAGGGACTAAGAGAGTGAGGGTGCCCCCCCCTCCCTTGCAAGAGTTGATGGCATATGGGTGTGGTGCTTGTGAATATTCAAGCCCTCTTATCTATCCTCTTAAGATCATTACCCCCCCCCACCCGACTTACTCTCACATGAATAGCACTAAGTATGAATATACACTAGTAAAAAGCCTATACAGTAGCAGCTACTGTAGGCTGGTGGCAGCGTAGTTAGAGAATAAGGTGCCTTAAGTGGTGTCAACGTACAAGTGGAAACGTTAGAAATGCAACCAGCGTTATAAAGAGATACTCGGTTATAAATGATGTCAAAATACACTAACTCCGTTATACTAGCAGAAGCGTATCAACGTACCCTACACCTCTGACAGCACATTAACAATGAACATATGGTACATGAACATATGGCACTATTAAGGTACACCTGTGACACCACTCTAAGTACATTCCTCATAGCGTTTGTTTTCACTGTGGAAGGGGACTTGACAGTATTATTAGAGCACATTCCTGAGAGTACTATCAAAGAACACCTTGTAAGACACTCGTCTACCAGCTAATACTTGACTACCAACACAACTCCTCCTCTCCAATATTATATCACATTTTGAGGTATAAATCTCCTAAGGCCAAAAACTGATGTACTAAAGATCACAGCGGCTCACAAAAATGACGTGATGTCACTTTTTCTATCTGTGGGTCTTCAGCGAGGTTAGGTTCAGGCAATTTAGTACATCAGTTTAGTGACGTTGTGAACGATCGAGAGGACAGGCTGACCAACAACCCTTATATAACACTTGACTACCAACAACCGCCTTATAAAACACTCGACTATCAACAATCAGCTAAACACACAGGATTCTGGACAATACTTGATCATTGTTGCAACAAAAACTACCTATATTCGTCTGCAAGGAATAATAAGAAACAATCAACTATATTTCCTTGTAGTCCAATTTATCTGCATCTGTCTCCTGTAAATTTCTTAGTTTCTATTGGGACAACCATCTTAGCAACATAGACCACAGAGTAGACAACCCATCTTAGCAACATGTAACACAGTAGACAAAAATGCAACATGAAAAATACTGCAGACATAAAAACTTACCTCGAACAATTAGATGTAAATAAGCACCATTATTTTCAACCTTAGTCTTGGCATTCTTAAAGGTTTTCGATTCCAGAGATGTGCCATCATTACCAAGGATGTATATTCCAGCGTCCCCAAGTGTGACCGGGTCAAATATCAAGGGAAGGGAAACATTAGCAGTGGTCCCATCCTCATACACCCATCCATCTGGAAGTCTGCGGATGAACACTTCAAGGGGAAGATCCTTGGACTTGATGGTGGGAACACTCAAGTGGTCTCCAAGACTGGCGCGAATGGTGCTTGTGAGAGACTTGTATAACTCTGTGAAGGTAAAACAATGTCATCATTAATCATTACTCATTATTGATTATTGTCAAATACGTTGGTGTCAACAAAGACGGTTGAGAGTAGTGTCTGGACTGGTGTAACCTAAGAAGGTTAAGGATAGAGCTTGGGATGGTATAACCTACTAAGGTTAAGGGTATGGCTTTAGCTGGTGTAAACAAAGAACGTTAAGGGTAGGGGTTGGGCTGGTGTAAACTGAGAAGGTTGAGAGTAGGGCTTGGGCTGGTGTAAACTAAGAAGGTTTATGTAGAGCTTGGGGTGGTGTAACCTAAGAAGGTTGAGGGTATAGCTTGGGCTGGTGTAAACTGAGAAGGTTGAGAGTAGGGCCTGGGCTGGTGTAAACTAAGAAGGTTTATGTAGAGCTTGGGGTGGTGTAACCTAAGAAGGTTGAGGGTATAGCTTGGGCTGGTGTAAACTGAGAAGGTTGAGAGTAGGACCTGGGCTGGTGTAAACTAAGAAGGCCGAGTAGTGCCTGGGCTGGTGAAAACTAAAAAAGTTGAGAGTAGAGCCTGGGCTGGTGTAAACTAAGAAGGTTTATGTAGAACTTGGCCTGGTGTAACCTAAGAAGGTTGAGGGTAGAGCTTGGGCTGGTGTAAATCAGACTTTCACTGCCCAAGACACCTTCCTTCTCTCAAACACTACTCTGTACTTGCACATATTTATAAAGCATCATTTCACTCCAATAAAACAATTTGTTTGTATAAAAGAGTAATACGTATATATAAAGGACTTTAGTGTCTTATATGGACAAAGGGAAGAGAAAAGTTATATTTTTTTAATTTATATATTATTAGAGGATGCTGAAGCTTAATGTATAGCAAAACAAATATATTTATGGAGGCCGACTAAATTCATGTCAAGATTATCAAATAAAAAAGTTCCCAAAGAGCAAGAAATAAAAGATAACTTGGCATATGGGCCAAGACTCACGGTGTGGGACTTGCACAACGGCCAGAACATCTGTAGCAGAACTCCTTCCCAGGCATCTTACAGCTCGTACATTGACTCCTCTTGGTGACTTCTGGTTAATAGTCCATCTTCCTGAATATAAATGATAATACAAATGAATGAATACGAGTTGTTTAACTTATGTTGTGGAAGATGCCACTTGTTATGTCCTTCCCAGTAATAAAATACATTCCTCTTAACAAGTGTTACACTCCATAATGTTTATGAGGACGGCACTTTATGGAAAGGGCCTAACATCCATGCATTCCTAATAATGAAACATCGTCGTCTTCAAAGTCATGGAGGATTAATAAATAATGCATACAAATTCGTTTTGCTTCATGTGTATATATATACACAGGAAGCCTGTGTATATACTTTAGGATTGTATTGAGGTCTACCCAAAGTGGAACTACTGATCTTCCCCCAGGTGCAACCCCGGAACAGTTGCCTAACTCCCGGGTACCTATTTACTGCTAGTGAACAGGTGCATTAGGTGAAAGGAAGCGTGCCCAACCATTTCTGTTCTGTCTGGGATCAAACCCGGGATCCTCAATTGTAAACCGAGAACATAGCTACTGTACAATAACAGCTGATCTGTGAGGCACCATATATACCCACAGGTCAGTTGTGAATGGTCCTTTACATCCAAAGTTTAACGAAGAGGAAAATCAAAAACTTGTTTCAAGTTGGGAATGGATTTATCCATCCTGAAAGTCAATATTACCTCTCAAACAGACATACACAGATGGGAATATCAAATTCATGCAACAGACAAATATAATGTTCAATTTCAGTATCAAGTAAAAGACAAGACCGAGCATTTACCTTTGGTTTTTGTGCAGTAGTCCCAGTTGCTGGATGTAGGATCCGTGTAGCACCACGGGCGGGTACTCGTTATGTCATAGCACTCCCAGTATTCCTCTCCCTTATAGTTATACGGGAATACACACTTGCCACTTTCTGTAAACTTCTCCTCTGTGGAGTTAACAATAAAAATATATATAATTTACTCCGAATTCCTTTAAATACAAATATAAATGTAAACAAGCCAAGTATGACATCAGTTTCAAACTGTCTGCGGCCGTTTTCAGAACTTTTCAATGATATAATATGATGAATGGTCAAGTAACTTGTCTTTATAAGTCAAGCAGACCACGATGTCTCAACAACAGCAACTCACTCAGGCAGGAAGAAAAACACTAATGCCACTCTAGCATAAAGTGAGAGATTGAAACCTTAAACAAAACAGAACGTAAAATTCATGTTATTGCAAATTCAAAAAATTATTTCTGATTTACCCAGATGGGAGATTCAACCGGTATCTGTACCAGGAAGGATTGTTCACTTGTGGCAGACGCAACAACTCTTTTTTCCAACAATCACAGTATATGATCAATTGTTATGAGATGGGAGCCCAGGAGTTGAAGCATGCAATATAGTTTGAGTAACTATGCAAATTTGTTCGTATATGGTGTAACCGTATTATTATAAACCTTTTCTGGAATATTTGAACTGAGCAAATGAAACAAAATGTATAGTGTGAGGGAGACACCCGGCAATAATGGACGAGGAGGAGTGCTGACACCACCATTGTGAATTATAGTGTGGGATTAAATGTTAAGTCAATTGTTGACTTAAGTCATTGTTGTTGTTAAGTCATTTAGAGAAAACTAGTTACAACAATTGACATATTGAAGGGGATGAATAATAAGTGACATTATTGTAAGAGGACGCACTGAAGGATCTAAAGAATCTAGACACTGAAGAGATGGGAAAAACGAATGACAGTGATATTATTGTCTAAGAGATAGTACTGAAGGATCTACACATAATGAAAAGAGTGTTACAAGATTATATCTCAACCTAAATATTTACAGAAGCAGAGGAAAGCACACGTAAACCATTAACGAGGACCCACAACACCTCAATAAGAGACGACGACTACCTGGCATCTGTAAAGGAAAAAATTACAGAACTGCTAAACAGCTGGCAAATATTACTGTCATGAAAACCCTGAAAGATTTAGGAGAAAAGGAGTATTCACAGATGGGAAGAACAAATGGAGAAAACAAGCAATGTAAAGCGAAATAATTAGCATAGCTTTATGGAGGCCGTTAGTATAGATTGCCTGCAGGGCTTTGGTACTGCCCACAAAGAAGACTATGAAGAAGTAATTTAAATAAGGTAAGAAATGAAAACACGGTGAACTGCATTTTTTCTAGACAATATTCTATACAAGGTCTCACCCACGGTATTTAGAGACGGGCTTAATGCTATATACACACCACTTTCAAAGATATACAAGTTCCTGTTAACAGAAAAGTTACATCTAGAATGCAGGCGATGAGTCACAACGTGGCTGAAGCATGTTGACCAGACCACACACTAGTCACTTTCACATTCTAGTGTGTGGTCTGGTCAACTTACATCTAGAAATCTGGCATTTTGCTAATATACGAAAACGGATACAAACAGGAGCTAAATTATAAGACCTTGTCCCTCAGATGCATACGGTTTAAGATGATTCAAGTCGTATTGATACCTTCTCGCTGTGCACTGTCACGTTACCAGTGAGGTCCACCACAACCAACATACCACAGGAAGAATCTTTGTCACATTAACAATGAGGTCCACCACAACCAACATGCCGCAGGAGGAAGCTCTGTCATACCAACAGTGAGGTCCACCCCCGACTGTACTACCAGGACCCCCGACTGTACTACCGGGACCCCAACTGTACTACCAGGACCCCCGACTGTACTACCGGGACCCCCGACTGTACTACCGGGACCCCAACTGTACTACCGTGACCCCGACTGTACTACCGGGACCCCAACTGTACTACCGGGACCCCGACTGTACTACCGGGACCCCGACTGTACTACCGGGACCCCCGACTGTACTACCGGGTCCCCGACTGTACTACCGGGACCCCGACTGTACTACCGGGACCCCGACTGTACTACCGGGACCCCGACTGTACTACCGGGACCCCGACTGTACTACCGGGACCCCGACTGTACTACCGGGACCCCGACTGTACAACCGGGACCCCGACTGTACTACCGGGACCCCGGCTGTACTACCCGGACCCCGACTGTACTACCGAGACCCCGACTGTACTACCGGGACCCCCGACTGTACTACCGGGTCCCCGACTGTACTACCGGGACCCCGACTGTACTACCCGGACCCCGACTGTACTACCGGGACCCCGACTGTACTACCGGGACCCCGACTGTACTACCGGGACCCCGACTGTACTACCGGGACCCCAACTGTACTACCGGGACACCGACTGTACTACCGGGACCCCGACTGTACTACCGGGACCCCGACTGTACTACCGGGACACAACTGTACTACAGGGACCCCGATTGTACTACCGGGATCCCCGACTGTACTACCGGGACTCCGACTGTACTACCGGGACCCCGACTGTACTACCGGGACCCCGACTGTACTACCGGGACCCCGACTGTACTACCGGGACTCCGACTGTACTACCAGGACCCCGACTGTACTACCGGGACCCCGACTGTACTACCGGGACACAACTGTACTACCAGGACCCCGACTGTACTACCGGGACCCCGACTGTACTACCGGGACACAACTATACTACAGGGACCCCGATTGTACTACCGGCATCCCCGACTGTACTACCGGGACTCCGACTGTACTACCGGGACCCTGACTGTACTACCAGGACCCCGACTGTACTACCAGGACCCCGACTGTACTACCGGGACCCTGACTGTACTACCAGGACCCCGACTGTACTACCGGGACCCCGACTGTACTACCGGGACACGACTGTACTGCCAGGGCCCCGACTGTACTACCGGGACCCCGACTGTACTACCAGGACCCCGACTGTACTACCGGGACCCCGACTGTACTACCGGGACACGACTGTACTGCCAGGACCCCGACTGTACTACCGGGACCCCACCTGTACTACCGGGACCCCGACTGTACTACCGGGACCCCGACTGTACTACCGGGACTCCGACTGTACTACCGGGACACAACTGTACTACAGGGACCCCGATTGTACTACCGGGACCCCGACTGTACTACCGGGACACAACTGTACTACAGGGACCCCGATTGTACTACCGGGACCCCGACTGTACTGCCAGAAATATATGAAACCATAAAGGAATTATAATCACAAACATATATGAGAATCTACAGATATTTCCATAATACTTACGAAAGATTTTTAAATCAAAATTAGGCTTTTCATAGCGCCAGGATAAAATATCCTCCTTAGTGAGCATTCTGTTGGTGTCGCTGGCCAAGCAGGTGAGGTCCAGTTGGCCGCTGTTCCCAGAGTACGAGTTGTGGACAATGATCACATCCTCAGCCAGGTCTGTTGACATTAACTGCTTTAGTGCAAGAGTACTAATAGAAGTTCAAACTAAACAGATTAGATTGTACTTAATTGTATAAGTATTTTTTACCGTAACATAAGAGATAGCAACATGCAGAAGCTAATAAGAGTATTTAGGATTTCCAGTGTGATGAGTGTTACCATGCTAGGGAGCCGGTGGCTGAGTGGACAAAACACTGGACGCGTGAAACTGTGGTCCCGGGTTCGATCCCGGGCGCGAAACGATGGACAAAGTTTCTTTCACCCGGATGCCCCTGTTACCTAGAAGTAAATAGGTACCTGGGAATTAGTCAGCTGTCAAGGGCTGCTTCCTGCGGGTTGGAGGCCTGGTCGAGGACCGGACCGCGGGGACACTAAAGCCCCGAAATAATCTCAAGATAACCTCTGAAGATGCTGTGTGATGACTGTGGTAATGTATTAGAGATGAGCCTTACCTTGCTAGGTGATGACTGTAGTAATGTATTAGATGTATTAGAGATGAGTCTTACCTTGCTGGGTGATGACTGGGGTAATGAGCCTTACCTTGCTGGGTGATGACTGTGGTAATGAGCCTTACCTTGCTGGGTGATGACTGGGGTAATGAGCCTTACCTTGCTGGGTAACGACTGGGGTAATGAGCCTTACCTTGCTGGGTGATGACTGGGGTATTGAGCCTTACCTTGCTGGGTGACGACTGGGGTAATGAGCCTTACCTTGCTGGGTAACGACTGGGGTAATGAGCCTTACCTTGCTGGGTGACGACTGGGGTAATGAGCCTTACCTTGCTGGGTGACGACTGGGGTAATGAGCCTTACCTTGCTGGGTGACGACTGGGGTAATGAGCCTTACCTTGCTGGGTGATGACTGGGGTAATGAGCCTTACCTTGCTGGGTGACGACTGGGGTATTGAGCCTTACCTTGCTGGGTGACGACTGGGGTAATGAGCCTTACCTTGCTGGGTAACGACTGGGGTATTGAGCCTTACCTTGCTGGGAGATGACTGGAGTAATGTTCAGGAACTTGTATGTAGTATGATCATCAGAGTTCTCTTGCCTGTAATAACAATATCTATTACTGCCTCTTCGTGATGCTTCAGATGTGATGTACAGAACTACATTCATTACTTGTTTATAATACATGATACAGTGTTACTGTAGCATCAATAATAGTCATTGTTCCTGTGACAATTATTAGCACCTGTACTGTCAAGGTGTAAACTAGTACCTGTACTGTCAAGGTGTAAACTAGCATCTGTACGGTCAGTGTAAACTAGCACCTGCACTGTCAAGGTGTAAACTAGGGACCTGCATTGTCAAGGTGTAAACTAGCACATGTACTGTCAAGGTGTAAACTAGCACCTGCACTGTCAAGGTGTAAACTAGGGACCTGCATTGTCAAGGTGTAAACTAGCACATGTACTGTCAAGGTGTAAACTAGCACCTGTACTGTCAAGGTGTAAACTAGCATCTGTACGGTCAAGGTGTAAACTAGCATCTGTACGGTCAAGGTGTAAACTAGCACCTGTACGGTCAAGGTGTAAACTAGCACCTGTACTGTCAAGGTGTAAACTAGCATCTGTACGGTCAAGGTGGGCACCAGACACACTTGTGGACCTGGCACCAGACACACTTGTGGACCTGGCACCAGACACACTTGTGGACCTGGCACCAGACACACTTGTGGACCTGGCACCAGACACACTTGTGGACCTGGCACCAGACACACTTGTGGACCTGGCACCAGACACACTTGTGGACCTGGCACCAGACACACTTGTGGACCTGGCACCAGACACACTTGTGGACCTGGCACCAGACCTGGGACCTGGCACCAGACACACTTGTGGACCTGGCACCAGACACACTTGTGGACCTGGCACCAGACACACTTGTGGACCTGGCACCAGACACACTTGTGGACCTGGCACCAGACACACTTGTGGACCTGGCACCAGACACACTTGTGGACCTGGCACCAGACACACTTGTGGACCTGGCACCAGACACACTTGTGGACCTGGCACCAGACACACTTGTGGACCTGGCACCAGACACACTTGTGGACCTGGCACCAGACACACTTGTGGACCTGGCACCAGACACACTTGTGGACCTGGCACCAGACACACTTGTGGACCTGGCACCAGACACACTTGTGGACCTGGCACCAGACACACTTGTGGACCTGGCACCAGACACACTTGTGGACCTGGCACCAGACACACTTGTGGACCTGGCACCAGACACACTTCCTGCAATACGTCACTATGTTACCTATTACACTTTACCATACCTTATAATAATTACAACAATTCTCTAACGACCAGTTTGTCACCATATTCATGTAATTATATGTTGTTGTTGTTTTAGATTGAGCTACTCGGAACAAAACGTTCCAAGCAGCAAGGGGCTATGGTGAGCCCGATATGTTGTTGTTGTTTTAGATTGAGCTACTCGGAACAAAACGTTCCAAGCAGCAAGGGGCTATGGTGAGCCCGTCGTACTTACCTGGTACAGGAGCGGAGCTGTAACTGGGGGTAATTAGATGTTGTTGTTATAGATTCAGCTACTCGGAAGAGGTTCCAAGTAGCACGGGCTATGGTGAGCCCGTAACTTACCTGGCACAGGAGCGGGGCAAGTAGCACGGGCTATGGTGAGCCCGTAGTGGACTTACCTGGCACGGGAGTGGTGCCGTCTCTGTCGGATAATTAGATTGAGTGATAAAGATTAAGCCACCCAAGAGGTGGCACGGGCATGAATAGCCCGTAATGTTAATTAGAATACAATGAAGTTTATATAACAAGCAGGTGGTGAGATGGGACTTGAAATTCAGCCCTTAACAAGCCATATTCCTGGGCTCAGGAAACTAAGCTAAATAGAAAGACAAGTTAGTGACAAGCCAGAGTGACCATGTAGGACTTGGAAGGAATAAAGGGACAACAACCTGGCTATGATGGAGCAAATAAACGGTGAACAACCATTTGGAACTTCCAGAATCGAATTGTGAGTCGAGATTACGAGTCATTCTCGATTATGAGTCGAGAACGACACCTACTGTACTACTTCTATGCAGCCCGCCCTCGCATACAAAGATCCAAGCTCGTTAATCCAGCCACCAAACCCACTGTTTATGAATGAAAAGCGGTTTACATCCGACTCACAACTGATGACGTCCGAACACTTCCCGAACAAGTGCTTCGCTCACGTCCTTTGTTCGAACCACAATTCTATAAATGCTTCACCCATGAACCTCAAATACAAATAATCGCCAATTGAACCTAAACACTTAACCTAACCTACGCCTAACTATACACAGAATTTTAATGTATAATAATATTAATTTATATGAGAACAGAGCATTTTCTAATATACAGTATGTAAAAATTTGATGAGTGCATCTGGGGAGGACGGCCGCTGCTTTAAAAAGCCTAGTGTGAGGACGGCTTGTACTATGAGTATGTGTGGCGGGTGAGTGGTTGGCGGGGTTGCAGGGGTGGGGAGGGGTCTGGTGTTGGCGGGTGCTGCGGTTGGGTGGGTTGCCAGCAGGGATGGGGGCAAGCAGTGTGGATGAGCAGTTGCAGGCGGAGGGCAAGCGGGTGTGGATGGGCGAGGGCAATGTTGCGGGTGGTGGGGCAGGCAGCTGGGCATAGGCGTGGGCGAGGAGAGGGTTGATGTGGGAAGGAGGGAGGGCATGCATGCAGCATGCGTCCGCCCTCGAGTGCATACAATTTCTAATGGTTCTATTAACGTTGAAGGTAACGATATCTAAATGTAAAATCAAGGGAATATTGACCTTAATTTGAGAGACTCTTTACACCGAAGGTTGCTATTATTTTCATTCTAAGCCATCGCATGATGGCCAAGCGACATTGGTGGACGACGTCAGAGCGACGTTAAAGTAACCAAAAATGCCCACAGGAAAGGGGGAGCGTTCTCATCTTAAGGAGCACATAAACAAACTAGAAATGTTGCATAGACTTGCTACTAAATGGGTCCTGGTACTTAGGAACATGATTTGTGAGGAAAGACTGGAGGTGTTGAACATTCCAGGGCTAGAAGATACAAGGAAACGTAGCGATATGTTCACTACATACAAAGTAGTAACAGGAATCGACAAAATATACAATGAGTAGATTTTGGAACCTGCAACTTTAAAAATAAGAGGCCATAGATTCAAGCTAAAACAAAAAGCTTTCCCCCCCCCAAAAAAAAAGCACAAGAAAATTTTCTCGTTCAGCGCGTCCTCCAAACAAAGACCCAAAAGTGATTCCATGCACCCGCTGTTTATGAATGAAAAACGGTTTACACACGACTCACAACTGATTTAATTCAAACACTTCCGGAACAAGTGCTTCACTGACGACTTTTGTTCGAACCACAAGACTGTAAATGCTTCACCCATGTACTACAAATACAAATAATCGCTAACATGAACCTAAACACCTAACCTAACCTATGCCTATATATGTACAAGATGCTAATATATTATAATGTTAATTTATATTTGATAAAATTCGCATTTTGAATGAACAGCATGTAAAAATATATAAATTCGTCTGTGGGGTCGATCGCTGGATGTAATGGACTTGAGTCGAGGACGGGTTGCAAGTCGAGTGAGAAGGTGATGGCGGCCAAAACCATTAGTAGTTCCAAAACTTTATATGACAAAGATAATTATGAAGACGGGACACCACGAACGTAGCTCTCTTCCTGTAACTACAGTTAGTTGAATTACCTAGGTAGTATAAATTCCTATCAAGTGGGTTCCTAAAAGCCTCTGTTCTAGGCCTAGTACTACTGCTCCTAACTTGTATGGAGTGACCTCGTACCTGTACATGCTTGCTAATGATGCAAACTATTGAGAAATGTAAAATGCGAGTACTCCAGAAAGTTACATGGAAACCTTCACAAATTGGAGGAAGGGCAAACAAATGATTGCTAGAATTCAATCCCAACAAGTGTAAAGTAATGTCAACTGGAAAAGTTGATCAAGAGGTATCAACACCATAATGGGGAAGGCAACTACAGGAATCAGAGACTAAAAGAGTTGGGAGAGGATATAACTCAACACTAACACCTGAGTCACAAATAAACAAGTTAACATCGGCAGTATATGGGATGGTGGCAAGCATTAGGACGTCCTTATGAAACACAAATCAGGATTCTTTCATGGCACTCTACTCACCTTTGTTAGATCAGTACCAAAATATGCAACACTGGCATAGAATCCGCACCTTTTGAAGCATAAAACTAAAATTAACATACATAGGTTTGCAACAAGACCAGTGCTACACAAAGAGAGTTAAGCAATTAAAGATGAAGGGAACTTGATCTCACAACCCTAGAGATCAGAAGATATAGATGGGGCATGACAAGGTAGAACAGGAAGCCTCGTACCCTTGTAAAAGTAGTTAACAACTGGTATGAATTGAAACAAGTTATAGAAGTCACCTCCGTCGAAATCATTAAAGCCAGTGTCGACAAAGAATTCAATCGTCAGAATAGTACATTATAATGCAACAAGTAGAACAAGGCTAGGAGGTAGGGAATAAGGAGGTAGACCTTATTACTTCATAATCATTAATAGGTATGTAATGTCCAACCAGCTGATTACCGTGTACTGTGAGTGATGTCCCAGATCACATATATACAGAGTAAAAGTAAAGCATCATCAAATAGTTAAGGATAAGCATAAACAGCAAGTCGCCTTAGTCCCTTTGTTTACAATATGGCCGAGGACTCCAAGAGCCAGAGCGGAAGTAATGATTTAAGTTTTAGCATCACCATAAATGAGGCCAATATGGTAGAGATGTTAACATGGATGTCGAGACAAGCAGCATATCAAGTGAGTCAGGGGAAAATTACTAGTTAATTAAAAAAAGAAACCCTAAATTTGTTTTGTTTCCAGTTACAATGAGATGCTGTGTCAATCTACCTGTCACACTTAAAGTCTTTTGTTAATTTTACAATACCTCAAAATACTTGACCCAATACTGACCTTATAATAGTATACAGTTCCAAATACAGGCAGTTGTTCGTTCTTCTCTGCAGGAACCTTTGCTGCAGCCAGACAGAACTCAGAGCAGCTGTTACAAGCACATCACCATAAGTTAGAATGTGCGACCAGCCGTAAATATTAAAACCCCATGTACCCAGTGGGCACAAAACCCCATGTACCCAGTGGGCACAAAACCCCATGTACCCAGTGGGCACAAAACCCCATGTACCCAGTGGGCACAAAACCCCATGTACCCAGTGGGCACAAAACCCCATGTACCCAGTGGGCACAAAACCCCATGTAACCAATGGGCACAAAACCCCATGTACCCAGTGGGCACAAAACCCCATGTACCTAGTGGGCACAAAACCCCATGTACCTAGTGGGCGCAATACCCAAGAGTGGCGTTTCTTCCATGTTGAATCAACGTTGATGACGTTCATTCAGCGTTGCTCTTGGATATTGTGTTATCTGTATACTGTAAGTGAACATTTTATTAACAGAAATATAAGTATGTCAATATATTTCATAATTACAAAGTTTCTCAAACCATAAAAACATAAATACTTACTAATGGTAACCAACACTATCACTTATGGATGTGAAATTGTGACATCTTTCTCTTTCTGGAGAGGATAAACGGACAAAATATAAGTATACAGCTTATATGTGTACATGTATGCATGTATGTATATATGTATGCATGTATATGTATATAAGTCACCAGAGACAAATCACCAGCAGTTTAAAGACCATCTAATGAAAATAGAACACTGCTTGGAAAACCTCACAAATCCAGCCCCGAACATCATTCTGCTTGGGGACTTCAACCTTCGGCACCTGAAATGGAAAAACCTAGCTAATAGTTATATCAGAAAGAATACCAGGGAGTAGCCTAAATGAACAGGCACATGCAAATGACCTGCTACGGATGTGCGACACGTTTGCCTTAAACCAGCAAATAGTAGAACCAACTAGGAAGGAGAACACCCTGGACCTCATTTTCACTAATAATGCTGAATTCATCAGGAACATAATGATTACAAATACCTAATACTCAGATCACAACTTAATTGAAGTTCTGACAAGCATGGGGAATAGGCCTTCAAAACCAGTCCCGATTCCCGGTGGAGGAGATTTCAGCAAATTCAAATTCAATAATAAACAGATAAAGTGGGAGTAAATAAACCAAGACTTCACATATATAAACTGAGAAGAACACCTAGAAAATGCAAACCTGAACCAGTGCCAGGGAAAAATAAGCTCAGTAGCACTAGAAATATGCTCAAACCGCACATCCCTAAGAAAAAAAACGAGATGTTGATTGGAAAGGGAACGTCTTTCCCTCTATACGCGAGGAAAACGGCGTCCTGTACATACCACATGCGTTGTTCCTGGCAGTATGGGTTCAAGTCACTTCTGGGGTGTGAGTTTTCAGTTGCATATAGTCCTGGGGACCATTCAGCCTTGTTCGCACTTGTGTTCCTCACGTGTGCCCCAAAGAATGAGGTGATTTGATAAAATGCTATGCCCAAGATTACCATCAGAGTGCCGGCGGGTTAATGGGCTAAATAGCCTCGGCTACCACCAGTTTTTGTCCGGTCGTGATGGTAAAGTGGATTAAGGCGTCCTGTACATACCAGTTCCATTGCTCCTGGCAGTATGGGTTCGAGTCACTTCTGGGGTGTGAGTTTTCAGTTTATATATATATATATATATATATATATATATATATATATATATATATATATATATATATATATATATATATATGTCGTACCTAGTAGCCAGAATGCACTTCTCGGCCTACTATGCAAGACCCGATTTGCCTAATAAGCCAAGTTTTCCTGAATTAATATATTTTCTCTAATTTTTTTCCTCATGAAATGATAAAGCTACCCATTTCATTATGTATGAGGTCAATTTTTTTTATTGGAGTTAAAATTAACGTAGATATATGACCGAACCTAACCAACCCTACCTAACCTAACCTAACCTATTTCTATAGGTTAGTTTAGGTTAGGTAGCCGAAAAAGTTAGGTTTGATTAGGTTAGGTAGGTTAGGTAGTCGAAAAACAATTAATTCATGAAAACTTGGCTTATTAGGCAAATTGGGTCTTGCATAGTAGGCTGAGAAATGTGTTCTGGCTACTAGGTACGACATATATATATATATATATATATATATATATATATATATATATATATATATATATATATATATATATATGTCGTACCTAGTAGCCAGAACGCACTTCTCAGCCTATTATGCAAGGCCCGATTTGCCTAATAAGCCAAGTTTTCATGAATTAATGTTTTCTCGACTACGTAACCTACCTAACCTAACCTAACCTAACTTTTTCGGCTACCAAACCCAACCTAACCTATAAAGATAGGTTAGGTTAGGTTAGGTAGGGTTGGTTAGGTTGGGTCATATATCTACATTAATTTTAACTCCAATATAATAAAATTGACCTCATACATAATGAAATGGGTAGCTTTATCATTTTATAAGAAAAAAATTAGGGAAAATATATTAATTCAGGAAAACTTGGCTTATTAGGCAAATCGGGCCTTGCACAGTAGGCTGAGAAGTGTGTTCTGGCTACTAGGTACGACATATATATATATATATATATATATATATATATATATATATATATATATATATATATGTCGTACCTAATAGCCAGAACGCACTTCTCAGCCTACTATTCAAGGCCCGATTTGCCTAATAAGCCAAGTTTTCATGAATTAATGTTTTTTCGTCTACCTAACCTACCTAACCTAACCTAACCGAGCTTTTTTTGGCTACCTAACCTAACCTTACCTATAAATATAGGTTAGGTTAGGTTAGGTAGGGTTGGTTAGGTTCGGTCATATATCTACGTTAATTTTAACTCCAATAAAAAAAAATTGACCTCATACATAGAGAAAAGGGTTGCTTTATCATTTCATAAGAAAAAAATTATAGTAAATATATTAATTCAGGAAAACTTGGCTTATTAGGCAAATCGGGCCTTGAATAGTAGGCTGAGAAGTGAGTTCTGGCTACTAGGTACGACATATACACATATATATATATATATATATATATATATATATATATATATGTCGTACCTAGTAGCCAGAACTCACTTCTCAGCTTACTATTCAAGGCCCGATTTGCCTAATAAGCCAAGTTTTCCTGAATTAATATATTTACTATAATTTTTTTCTTATGAAATGATAAAGCTACCCTTTTCTCTATGTATGAGGTCAATTTTTTTTTATTGGAGTTAAAATTAACGTAGATATATGACCGAACCTAACCAACCCTACCTAACCTAACCTAACCTATATTTATAGGTAAGGTTAGGTTAGGTAGCCAAAAAAAGCTAGGTTAGGTTAGGTTAGGTAGGTTAGGTAGACGAAAAAACATTAATTCATGAAAACTTGGCTTATTAGGCAAATCGGGCCTTGAATAGTAGGCTGAGAAGTGCGTTCTGGCTATTAGGTACGACATATATATATATATATGTCGTACCTAGTAGCCAGAACGCACTTCTCGGCCTACTATACAAGGCCCGATTTGCCTAATAAGCCAAGTTTTCCTGAAATAATATATTTTCTCTAATTTTTTTCTTATGAAATGATAAAGCTACCCATTTCATTATGTATGAGGTAAAAAAAAAATTATTGTAGTTAAAATTAACGTAGATATATGACCGAACCTAACCAACCCTACCTAACCTAACCTAAGCTATCTCTATAGGTTAGGTTCGGTTAGGTAACCAAAAAAGTTTGGTTAGGTTAGGTTAGGTAGGTTAGGTAGTCGAAAAACAATTTATTCACGAAAACTTGGCTTATTAGGCAAATTTGGCCTTGCATTGTAGGCTGAGAAGTGCGTTCTGGCTACTAGGTACGACATATATATATATATATATATATATATATATATATATATAATATACATATATATGTCGTACCTAGTAGCCAGAACGCACTTCTCAGCCTACTATGCAAGGCACGATTTGCCTAATAAGCCAAGTTTTCATGAATTAATGTTTTTTCGACTACCTAACCTACCTAACCTAACCTAACTTTTTCTACCTAACCCAACCTAACCTATAAAGATAGGTTAGGTTAGGTTAGGAAGGGTTGGTTAGGTTCGGTCATATATCTACGTTAATTTTAACTCCAATAAAAAAAATTGACCTCATACATAATGAAATGGGTAGCTATATATATATATATATATATATATTATTAAATATGACCGAAAAAGTAAGATTAATAATTCTAACACGAATTTTTTCAATCTTTCGTACATTTCTTTTCACTGTTGGAGGTAAATCAAAAATCAATTCTCCAAAATTCATTTTTATTTCTAGTCTGACGCGACACGAGCGCGTTTCGTAAAACTTATTTCATTTTCAAAGACTTTAGTTCACAAATACACAACTGAATAGAACTTACGCATCTCCGATTTTATATCTACATTTGAGTGAGGTGGAAGGGGTGATGTGGCATTAACACAAGACAGAACAAGATGTGGCATTAATAGGGTATTAATTTCATCAACACAAGACAGAACAAGAGTATTAATAGGGTATTAATTTCATCAACACAAGACAGAACACGAAACAATGGATATTGAATAGAAGTGTTTGTAGAAAGCCTATTGGTCCATATTTCTTGATGCTTCTATATTGGAGCGGAGTCTTGAGGTGGGTAGAATATAGTTGTGCAATAATTGGCTGTTGATTGCTGGTGTTGACTTCTTGATGTGTAGTGCCTCGCAAACGTCAAGCCACCTGCTATCACTGTATCTATCGATGATTTCTGTGTTGTTTACTAGGATTTCTCTGGCGATGGTTTGGTTGTGGGAAGAGATTATATGTTCCTTAATGGAGCCCTGTTGCTTATGCATCGTTAAACGCCTAGAAAGAGATGTTGTTGTCTTGCCTATATACTGGGTTTTTTGGAGCTTACAGTCCCCAAGAGGGCATTTGAAGGCATAGACCACGTTAGTCTCTTTTAAAGCGCTCTGTTTTGTGTCTGGAGAGTTTCTCATGAGTAGGCTGGCCGTTTTTCTGGTTTTATAGTAAATCGTCAGTTGTATCCTCTGATTTTTGTCTGTAGGGATAACGTTTCTATTAACAATATCTTTCAGGACCCTTTCCTCCGTTTTATGAGCTGTGGAAAAGAAGTTCCTGTAAAATAGTCTAATAGGGGGTATAGGTGTTGTGTTAGTTGTCTCTTCAGAGGTTGCATGGCTTTTCACTTTCCTTCTTATGATGTCTTCGACGAAACCATTGGAGAAGCCGTTATTGACTAGGACCTGCCTTACCCTACAGAGTTCTTCGTCGATTTGCTTCCATTCTGAGCTGTGGCTGAGAGCACGGTCGACATATGCGTTAACAACACTCCTCTTGTACCTGTCTGGGCAGTCGCTGTTGGCATTTAGGCACATTCCTATGTTTGTTTCCTTAGTGTAGACTGCAGTGTGGAAACCTCCGCCCTTTTCCATGACTGATACATCTAGAAAGGGCAGCTTCCCATCCTTTTCCATCTCGTAAGTGAAACGCAGCACGGAACTCTGCTCAAATGCCTCCTTCAGCTCCTGCAGATGTCTGACATCAGG